GTATTTCCCATTTGATGAGATCAAAAAGCGCGGCGTTGCAGAAGGTCAAATCAATGATTGACCCTGCGTTTCCTTTTTGATACGTGTTTTTCCTCCCTTGGTTGAGTAGCACAATATCGAGGTTAATGAAGGCTTCAAGTAGCGCTTGTCCGCGCGCAGTTGTCTTTGAGCTACCCCATTCCACCGCCCACGCGTTGAAGTCTCCAGCAATAATGACCGGAGATTTTCCGGCAGCATCATCAACTAGTCGGATTAGCATGTTTTTGAAACCTTCCAGTGACTCACTTGGAGGTGCGTAGCAGCTGTAGAAGTGAACCCCTCCAATTTTTGCGTGTGTGAATCCTTCATGCTGGCTAGAACCGGTTTGTTCAAACGGGACATCACCACATGCCCAGATTGCAGCTTTTCCCCGTTTATCCTGCAGCCAGCTTCCTTCTCCTGTGGGCGAACGGTACTGTTCACTGATTAGTGCAACGTCAATCTTTCGTTCAACGATTGTCTGCTTTAGGAGGTCCTGGGCCGCCTCACAATGGTTCAAATTGATTTGTACGCATCTAATCATTGTTTGAGATGTGTGATCGCCTTTTTATATGTCGGGCAGCTAAAACTACCAGTGGGATGGTCTGTACCAGTTTCCTTTTTACATATCACGCATTTAGGTGTTGCATTGCAGAGTTTGGCAATATGGCCCTTTTCTCCACAGCGCAAGCACATTCCACTGCGGTCTTCTGCGGATTTACAGTTTCTGGATATATGCCCAAATTCCAGACAACGATAGCATCTGGTTGGGTTAGTAACTTCCCTGACTCTGCAACTCACCCATCCTATAAGGATGCGCCCAGTCTCCACCAAGCTTTGTGCATCTCGTACAGGAAGATTTAGCGTTGCAGTATGCGTGCCACTTCTGGTCTTCCTCAGTGACTTCAGTATAACGTCTTCTCCATTGTTTAACTTAGGGAACTGATCTTTTAACGCTTTACTGACATTCTCGGCCGTTGTAGCCATGTCTATATCCCGAATCTCTACTGTTAAACTGCTACTTAAGCAACTCAGCCACTCGTTCCTTAAATTTACTTGCAAGTTTGCCAGTCTTATCGCGGAGTTGGACAAGCAAATTACCACTTGCTGTAGTTTTAATTTTATTCACGTTTTCGCCAAGCTCTTTCATGCCTGGCTGCTGCTTCATTGAAGTTATTATAATTATTATTATTATAGTGGTTGTTATTACTAATACTGCTATTTTTAATTATTATTTGTTATTATTATTATTAAAATTTTCTTTGTTATAACTTCTTATTAATATTATTATTATTATTTTTTTTTTTATTAATATTTATATATTATTATTATTATTATTAATAACATATTATTATAACTGTTATTATAGTTATTTTGTTTTAATTATTATTGTTGTTCCTATTATTATTTTATTTTTATTTTCTAATTATTTTTATTATTATTATTAGTTCAATTAATATTTATATTTTTTATTATTATTATTCTTTTACCGACTGTTGTTTGCCGAGGACACACCTTATTAACTGTTGGGTTGCGTCTCGGCTAAATTGTCGCACTTTGTAAACAGCTGTTGATCTGTTCCCACTTTGGGTGACAAGATCAGCTGTATTTATTATCACTTAACTTTATTTAAGAAATCAGTTAATATCTATCTCACTCCCTTCAAATTCAAGTGAAAAAGGAAAAACTGGTAAGTTTATAAGAAAATATAAATTTTGTACTTATCAAATTTTGTGAATAACTTCCATTCCAGATGTTCCCCGCGCTATAATCGAGCAAGGGGTTTCGCACTCGGGTAAGGATCGTATATGCACTTGTTTATAGCACTTAATCCTTTGTTTTTTTTCCTTTTTTCAGGGAGCTCTTCAATTATCAACTTCCCACAACACTTTCATCACGTTTATGTGTGTGTGTATATGTGTGTGTGTATATATGTGTGTGTGTGTGTGTGTGTTCACATTTAATAGCAAGTGTAATTACAGTTATGCGGTGGCATATAAACCGAAATACACGCGTTTGTATGCATGTTTATACGTATGTATACGCTTGAACCTTTACATAAAATATATATGTATGTATGTGTGTTTGTATGTATGCTTTTGCGCTATTTAAACGTCGACACGCTGCGCTTTATGAAGATTTAGTGGTTTTACGTCACATTTGCTGTTGCTCGTGCTGTTGTTCTTGTTGTAATGTCAGGTAGTTCTATTGTTGTTGTTGTGTTTCTCGTTTGTTGTTAGCAAATGATATTTTTATTACAATATTATCACAAGGCTCAAGCGTAAATTAAAAGGCGCTTCAGAAGCTCAAGCCTCCAGCACAAAGAGTCAGCTGCCTAACATATAAACACAGCAACAACAACAACAACACCAATGAAAAATGAGTGAGTGTAATATTTTCAGTCTCTGCTACAACAATTAGTTGAGCAGCACTCAATCCTGTACGACAGAACGGCCGATGGATCGCGACCTTCGCTGCTGGCAGAACGACTTGACTCCATCCGGTGGCACCTCTATACGCTCCATCCTCCACCAGCACCATCTCAGCCATCATTATTTGTTCAAAATGTGTAAAACAGATGAAATACATATGTACGTGTGTGTGTATAAGCACTTCTTCGCGCGTTCGCAATAAGGCTTAGCAACATAAATTAATGCATGCTTTGAGGCGTTGCTTTCTCATCTGCCTGCCTTCCCTCAACAGCTGGCTGTTGGTTTCCAGTTGCTTTGGTATTTCTGGTTGGCTTTCAAGTTGCCTCAAGACGAGCAGCGCGTAATAAAGTTAATGGAAAATTAAAGTTGCAAAAAGCTATGGAGTTTACAGTATTACAGTAGTATGTATGTAAATACGTATTTGCGTATGTCAGCAAGTGTTAATACAGGTGAAAATCTTAGAGAAATATGTGAGTAATTTGGCGAGATTTTCATCTCATTTAATTTATGAAAGATAGTGTAGAAGCAAAATTTAATAAAATAAAATAAAATAAAATAAAATGAAATAAAATAAAATAAAATAAAATAAAATAAAATAAAATGAAATGAAATGAAATGAAATGAAATAAATTAAAACAAAATAAAATAAAATGAAAAAAGACAAGATAAAATAAAATAAAATAAAATAATATAAAATAAAATAAAATAAAACAAAATAAAATAAACTAAGAAAAAAATAAAATAAAATAAAATAAAATGAAATGAAATGAAATACAATAAAATAAAATAAAACAAAAAATATAAAGCAAAACAAAATAAAATAAAATAAAAAAATAAAGCAAAACAAAATAAAATGAAATAAAATAAAGCAAAAATAGAGTGTTAAGTGAATAAATAATTAAAGAAAATAAATATGTACCTGACTCGTACGTTTAAATCTTAAATTTTTCTCCCACTTAACATCTTTGCTAGTTTTAATCTTCAATGAAATTGTTTTCCTTCCGATTTCCACTTCACTCCACGCTGGAAAAGTACTAAAATTCCTATAACTACCAAATGCTGTTGAAATGATTGCCGGCAGATTAAATACTGCTTTTAAGCTAATGTTAATTAAGTGAAAATATAGCAAAACCACAAAAATGTTCAGTATTTTGAAATTGTGTGAGAAAAAATTATGTAAAATTACACCACCACCACAACCAACATCGCTGTCACTCACCAAACGCCAATCCGTTGCCAATTCACTCGCTCAAAGTGAGAAATGCGATTAAATGCTCCCGGCGACCGAGCGAACTCCACTTAAAATGCACGCACTCAACTCCAAAACATAAGAAGTAGTAAAAAGTGTAGTTAAAAGGTAGTAAAAGCACAAAGTGAAATATGTAGTGACACAAAAAATGCAATGACAACAACAACCCTAGCAACTACGTGCATTAGACGCACTAAAAAGTTGAAAATATTTTTTAGGTTAGAATATGAATGCAAATCGCACGCGAAAGTATGTTTATGTTTATGTGTGTGTGTGTATATGTATGGTGAATTAGTAGAGCGGTAAACGGTATTAAATAGTATTGAGTGTAAAGGAATGTGAAAGGTGAAAGTGATGCAAGGCGTGTCAGAAGAGCGGATTAAAAAATAAAAAAAAAAATAAAAAAAATACAAAAAATTGGAAAATAAAAAAACTAAATTAGAAGAAGTAAGTAAAATGAAAAAAAAAGTTTTTGCGCAAAAACATTAAAAGCGTATAAAATTATTTATTAAACTGAAAATTCACCTGAACTTCATTTATTTTTTATTTTTCATAAAAACTACGAATCCTAAAAAGAGCGAAAAAAATTTTACAGCGAGTAACGGTTTGGTGAGGTAAGGCAAAACCGTTAGAATTTAATTACTCGTATGTAAATATACGTGTGTGAGAATGTTTGTATGCGAGTGCGTGTGTGTTTACTTGCAAATGCATGCAAATATGTGGCAACGCCAGCCAAACACGCTTTCAGCTTCGCAAAAGTAACTAAATATAAGTGGCTTATAAAGTTGGGTAAATGCAACAACGGTAATTTTTCGCCAAAATTCAGTGAAGTAAGTACAAAAACACAGAATAGAGAGCTGTTGAGAGAGTGTGAGAGAGAGAGAGAGACGGATATGCGGGAATTTAGTGCACAAATAAAAGCGAGTTAAAATAGCTTAAGGAAAGGGATTCGCTGTGAAATAAATGTAGTAAAGATCGTGCTTAACAAAAATTCCGATACCAAAATAGCATGGGAAAGTTGGATTACCGAGAGAAAAAGGAGTAAAAATATATATATACATAGAAAAATTAAAAAGAATACAAACAGTGAAAAGTAATTTCGTAGATTTCTATCAACAAACGGTATAACGGTGCAGTGGTATTTCTTGTTTTGCTCAGGGCGAAGAGCAAATGGAATTTTACTTACACACATACATACATACATTCATACATTCATACATACATGTATATACATATATACTTTAAACCATCATCAGAGTATACACGCAGGTCACTGAGCTGCTGGTAGCAGTAAATTGAGCTCGAATGTGAATTCAATTGTCCGTCAGCTGCTGCGGAAGGAAGAGGTGTTTAGAGCTTCCCAGAAATTCCATACAAGAAAACTAAGGTGTAAAAAGGATTAAGAGAGGCGGTTATAGTGAGGACTAAATATAATATATATCTAAAACTTAAGAAAGTACACAACGCCATAGGGTACTGCTGTGACAACGAATCCAAGGTCAACATGTTCTTTAGCAGCTGTTGTGGGGAATACTCGTAGTGGTGAATAGACGGCTAGAGCTACCTTAAAATACTATGAGCATGAGAAAAAAGACTTAGAAAGTGGAGAGTGGAGAGTGGATGGAAGAGAAGGAGAGAGGAGCCGTCATAATAAGGGGTAAAGTTGTGAAAAGGGGGGTGGCAAGCTGGTTGCAGCTTCCAGACAATGTTCTATAGAAAGTTGGAGGTTTAAAAGGTGCTCAGAGTGTGGCTGTACGTCACAGCGGCCAAAGTCGAGGGTAAAATTCCAAATTTTTTGTAGAAAATGAAATGAAATTAGTCTGAATACTCTTAGTTAACGCAGTGCAATGAAAGTAGTCTGCTGGTCCTTACAAGCAGTTGTAGAAAGCCTCGCATATAAACGAAGTACTCTAAAAATGGGCTTACGGAATAAAGATCAGCACTCGTTCTGTCTTAGCTTGATGGTTGTTCTTTTAGGAAGTTAAATGTTCTAAAGTAATGACTTCAGAAAACTTCCTCCCGGTCTGATAAGTCAATTGCCGCAGAGGTCACAAAAACTAAATTGCTTTCATTCGTGATCTATTTTGGGGTCAGACTGCTCAGATTGGCGCCGGACTGTCGTTCACAGATCTGTCCGAGATTTTTTTAGAAACCCCAACTTACTCACTAAGGCTCTTCTCCATGTCATTTATGACATCACTTTGCAAACACATAGTCCAGGCAGTCTTTTCTGTGCGGCGAGCTTATGAAATACGCTTCGAAACGCTTTGAACCACTGGGCGAGGTATCCTTAAATCACATTTTTGAAAGGCACACGCAGCAGAAAGAAAGACAGAGAGAGAGTATGTAAGCTCTTTCCAAATCTCGGTATTCAAATAGAGGACTTACTTCAATTTTCGACTCACGAACTATTCGAGCTTATGATGCAACGAGATTAGTTCAACCCGAGGATGTCGGGAACCTCAAATTACCACTCGAAGAAGGACCAGCCAACCATGATATACATAGAGCTCGAAACAAGAACAGAGAGACCCCGCCCGATGTGGAAACGTGCACAGCCTTTTCGAGAGCACTCATCCAGAGAACGATAATCTTTTGGTGATACGAAAATCTCGAGCTTGACATTTTATCTCAGCGTGTGATACAAAACATTTGAATTTGGAATGAAATAATCTGTTTTGGTTGCTCATTGTTGTTGTTAAAATTTATTTTTTTTTTAAATTATTATGGCGTTCACATGCTTTTATATCAAATCGATGCTGCAGTCGGGTCACATAAATGTCAGTCAGCTCCGTCCGACCAATCATTTATAACTCCCTACGACAACGTGCGTGGAACCCAGATAGAGCAATGCCATGACAACAATTACATGCGACTGTCTCTCAGCCGGCTCGCACTCAGTGCTCTGCCGTCTCTACACTGCTCCGTGTGCTCTGCAATTCCTTCCAAAGACGTCGAAGTGCAAAACACCAAATGTGAGCTCTACTGCTGTTGTCATTGTTGTTGTTGTTGTGCTGATGGCAACAGATGTTGTTGAGCTTATCACTCGTTGTCTCGTTGCAGTGACACAATTGAGACAACAGCACAGCAAAAAATAAAATAAAACAATAACAAACAATAACAAAACCCATAAGCATTAAAAGCAACGTCGACGCCGAGAAGATGACGGAGGCGCGTGGACTGGTGACAGAGGAGCTCCCTCACAATCACATTGGAA